TCTGCTCGCAGCTGGGTGAGCTGCAAGCGAGCCCGGACCCTGCTTTGTCCCCACGGTCCATGGGGATGGTGGGCAGGGGGGTCTGCCCTCGGGAACTGCCCATCCTGGCATGGCTTCAGCCTTGGGGACATCCTTAGGGCAGGAGGATCCTTTGCGTTTTCTGGGCACGATGGTTTCTTGGGAATGGGGACACCACCCTGTGCCTTTAATGTGGCTGGAGGTCCCCAGGTGCGAATGGGGCTGAGCCCAGCGCTGGGTGCAGGTGCCAGGGGCAGGGGGCTGTGACACCCTTGTCCCCAGGGACCTGTAGGCCTATCGGAGGAGCATTTTGGCCCTGGTGATGAGAGGGTTGGTATTACAAGCAAGGCATCTTGTGCAGCCTGAGGCTGCGGAAGCATTCGGGCATCCCCGGCTGCGGCACCACGACCCACATTACCCCTTGAGTGGGTTCCCCCCCAAAACACAGTTTTCAGAGCACCGTGACCCTCCTCGCCCCTGTACCTGTGTCCCCCTGTCCCCAGGTGCTGCAGGGCTTGGGGACAGCCCCACGTCCACAGAAGCAGCTTTCCCTGGGCGGGAGGCAGCTCATCCCGCTCCATCCTCCCTTCCCTCCCCACTCTGTGTGTCCCTCTCCTTCCCTGGGCCTGTTTTGAGCAAATCCTCCAATAAACCCAGTTTTGCTCATTTTGTTGGAACTGCAAACCCTGTCAGATGAAGCGATGTTTTTTTCCCAGTTGCTTCCAATGTAGCTGGGGGAAGCGGGGGCAGATTTCGTGCAGGTTGGGCAAACATGGGCAAAATGGGCACATGCATCCCCCTGCTCTGTCCTCCCTGGCATGTGGGGTCAGCCCAGCCTTGTCCCTCACGGACCCTCCGGTGCTCCGGGTTGGAGCTGCACACGGGTGCTGTTTGCTGCGACTGCAGCCAAGATGGTGCTGGGTCCCATGTTGCATCCCCGTGCTGCATCCCCGTGCTGCATCCCTGTGGTGCATCCCAGTGGTGCATCCTTGTGGTGCATCCCCGTGGTGCATCCCCGTGGTGCATCCCAGTGGTGCATCCCCGTGGTGCATCCCCATGGCGCATCCTTGTATTACATCATTGCGCTGCATCCCCACGGTGCATCCCTGCGTCCCCGTGGTGACGGTCCCCTGCATCCCAGCTTGGGAGCCTGCAGATGGGTCCAAGCAGGACCTTTGGTCTCCCAGTTCCCCGCCAGCCTGCCCTAGACCTGGCAGTTGCAGTTTCACCATGTGCAGGTTTCCGTGTCCCCGGCGCAGGGATGAGGGATGCAGGATTCGGGGCCCCCCCCGCAGAGACAGAGCACCCAAAAGGGCCATAAGAGGGGTCAGCAAGCGCCTCCCTGGCCCCTCTTCATGTTTTCAGCAAGGACACCAGGTCCTGTGCCCGGAGGCCACCTGCCAGCCCAGGTCCCGGTGTTCCCGGCGGGGCCGCGTCCTTCCCGTTCCGTCCTGCAGCGCCGGCCCCGCGCGGCGCCCGCTCGCTCTAACGCTGCCCTTCTTGTCCCCCCTCCCTGCCTTTCTGCCCTCTCCCTCTGTGTCTGCGTGTCCGTCCTCGTGCCCGTCCGTCCGTCCTCGTGCCCGTCCGTCCGGCTCTCTCTCCGCCTCGCTCCTCCTGCCGATGTCCCCTTCCCGTGCAGTAACTCGTGGGACCAGCTCATCTCGTGCTCTCTTTGTGGCGGACCCTTCCCAGCTGCTTGACCTCAGGCCTAAATCAATGCTGCTTCTGAACAAACTCGTGTTTTTTGGTTGTTCTTTCCTTTTCTTTTTCCTTTTTGGTCTTTCTTTTGGTCTTTTCCTTTACGAAACTGTTTGACTCTCCTCCCCTCTTCCTCCTCCTCCTCCTCCTTGAATCTTGCTTTTCTTTCTAGGCCGCTAGAGCATCTAAAGAGGCCAGCGAGGCCTCCCCTGCAGTCGCAGAAAAACCTGCAGCTGGCAGAACCTCCATCCCCGTATTGACTTCCTTTGGGGCCAGGAACTCCTCCATTTCCTTCTGAGGCTCCTTGCGAGCTCCGCGCGCGCCCTTCCTCGCGCTCCTCCCTTGGACGGGCTCCTCCAGGATCTCCGGGGCTCCCCGTGCTCTTGTGGGCGCTCCCTGCTCGCTCCAAGGAGGCCGACCCAGCGGAGCGCGGCCCGACCTCCGGCTCGCATCCCGCTCCAAAGGGGCCCGCTGGCTGTTTCTTTCTCTCTCTCCTCTCTCTCATTCTTTTCTTTTGCTCTTCTTTGTTGTTTATTCTCACTTTCGTTTCCTTCCTGCTTCTGTTTCGCTGCCGTCCTTTGCTTTCGCTCCGGTTCCTCTCCCACCCCGGCGTTTGCTGTTGGTCTAAGCTCGCACCGCCGCTCGCAGCAGCTCCAAGCAAGCCGGAGGCGGGAGGAAAGCGGGAAGCGCGCGGCCGCTTCCCGCCGCTCGCTTGTCCTCCCGCTCGCTCCCATCGGAGCTCGCCGGGCTCGCGGAGCGCACCGGGCTCATGCCACAAGGTCAGTGCCCGGCGTGGGAGGGATCCGGCGTGGATGGAGCGCGCGGGAAGCGACGGAGCGCGCGGGAAGCGGCCGGGGCTGCTCCCAGCGCATCCTAACGTAGCACTTTAATGCGCGCGGGGGAGACACCGCCGCGCTTCTCCGTCCCATCCATGCCCTGGAGAGGGACCTGCGGATGCGGAGCCGCATCCCCATCCCTATCCCCTGCATGCAGGAGCAGCACCGTGCACCCAAGGGTGCCAGCGAGCCCCGTGCTCGCTCCTTGCACCATGGCGCGAGCAACCAAATCACTCCTTGCATCAGCCAGTTCGTCGCTGGGTTGGGTTTCGGTTCTTTTCTTCTTTTCCCCCTCCCTCTCTTTTTTTTGTAAACCGATCATTTTTGTACAGAAGAACGAGCCTTTTTTTGAATAACAAAGTGGAAAAAAAATACAAAAAAAAAATCATGATGCAATTTCTTTGGATTGCAAAAAAGCAACTCTTTACATTTAAGTGAAGTGTCTTAACATTTTATATTGTTTTAAAAAATATATTTACATATTATATATATATAATATACGTAATATAAATATATATATAAATATTTAAAAAAAGAAAAGAAAAGGAATAAATCTCTTCATGTCTGGTGTGTTAGGGGGTGGGTTTTCTTCCCCAGGGACGCTGGAGAGGGGCAGCTGGGGGTGGCCCTGGTGTCCCCTCCTTCATCCTCTGTCCCCCGGCCATGGTCCCCATCCCTGTTGGGGACTTTGCTGGGCTCGAGGGTGGGAGGGGGAGGCTGCAGCCCCTCCCGGCAGCAATAGCAGGACCTCATTGCGTTTAATTATGGAGCTTTTTAATTATTTTTTCTCGGTACCAAAGGGAAACTCTGTAGCGAAGCCACAGCTTCTTATGGAGGGGGGAGAGGCTTCTGCTCTCCATCCCCCCCCAACCGGTGCCTGCCCCCCTAGTCCTGTCCCTGCTCATCCCAGCCCGTGGCCGGTGCCTGCGGGTGGCACCTGGTGGCACCTGTGGGGACTCTGTGTCTTGGTGTCCCATGGGACACGTATGGGAGGGGGTTACAGGTGATGCTTGGAGTTGGGGGCTGCATTTCCCACCCGGAGCCCCCTTGGGTGCCTCTGGGCACATCTGGGCACATCTGGCTTGGGCACTGCCCCCTCCTCAAAGCACTGCCCCCCGTCCCCCTTTTCTCCATAATATCCTGTGGCTGCCGGGGCCAGGAGCGGAGCGCAGGGGAAGCGGGGGGTGCCCGTTGCTCATTTCCACTGATTTTTCCCCATTTCTGCCCCTCGCCAGCGATCCCGCTAGTTTTCTATGTGCGCGTGTGTGTCGGAGTGCGTGCGTGTGCGTCCCTCGTGTCATGGCATCATGCAACCGTGTGTGACCGCCCGTCCTAGTGCGTGTGCTCAAGCAAGAGGGCAAAGAACAAACAAAAAAAAAAAGGCAAAAAAAACCCAAACCTGTTTGACTTCAAAAAAAGACAAAAAAAAGAGGAAAACGTTGCAAAAACGACCCACAAAATCATTAAAAAAAAATAAAATGAGCGCTGCCTGCATCGTGCATGTGTCCGGAGGCGCCCGCTGCATGCGCACCCTGCTTTACTTGTCTGGATGTTGTTTAAAAAAAGAAAAAAAGCCTATGACTTTTAAAAGGACAAAAAAAAAAAAAAGGTTCCTACTACTCTTTAGAGGTTGTTTTGGGGTTTCTACGACGTCGTGTGTCTCTTAGCATGAATATTCTCGTGAACTGTTTTGAAAAGCAACCCAAGCGCGCGTGCGCGGCGGCCGCCCGCGCGCCTGTAGCGTCGTTCTCTGTATCTCGGATGCCATGGGTAGTTCTGTGCGAAACGTGACCCTTGTGACTCGCCCCCCTGCCCGGGGTGGCCTTTGAGCTCCTCCTCCCCTTTCCTACTTTTCTTTTCTATCAGAGTGTCTGGCTTTAATAAAATACTTTTTTTTTTTTTCCTCTATGGCTTCTTTTTTTATTTTAATGTCCGGTGCTGGGGAAGGAAGGAGGGTGCGGAGGCTCCGGCCTTGAAGCAGTTGAACTGGTGAGAAAACCGGGGAAATCCTTCCCGGAATGCCGTGAGCACGGGAAATGGGGAAATCCCTAGGAAATGGGGCTGGAATCCCTTCTGCCGCAGAGCAATACGGAGCAAACCTCCTCGGATAACCAGTTTATTTCCAATATATAGACCAGGACCTGTGGGAGGACGATTTCCAAAGCAGAAGGTTTAGGGAGGGAATCCCGCTTTTTTTTTTTTTTTTGGCAGTTTTTGCATATCCCAGATACACATCCGACTCTTACAACACGTCAAGGGGGGACAGGGAGGGATGCACATGCAGAAGGGTTTAAAAAGTCAACACGGGGCCAGCGCGTCGCGTGGTCGCGGCTGGTCTCTCAACGGAGCAAAACTTCTTAAAAAATCCTTATAAATCCTTTGTCATATGTTACACATTTAGAGACAATATTTACAAAAAAAAAGAGAAAAACAAACAAAAAAAACCCTTTACAGCAAATATTTGCATAACACGTGGGACGACGCGGGGCCGAGGACGTGGGACTTCCCATCCCGCGGCTCTCGCTGTGGGTGCCCGGGGCCCTGCGCTGCCTCTGGGGCCACTGTCACCAAACCCGGAGGGAAGGACCCAGGTGATGGGGCTGTTGGGCACAAGGGCAGGAGGCTCCCGTTGTGTCCCAGTGCTGTGGCAGTTTTGGGAAGGGGTTGTGGAAAAGGCCCCCCACCCCGGCCAGGCACCGCATCTGAGCATCCCCGGCTGAGCATCCCGGGATGCGGCTTCCCTGGGATGCAGCAATGGCGCATGGCGTGGGGGGGGGTAGGACCCATGGGGCCACCTGCGTGTCCCCATGGCGAGTGGGACCAGGGTGGCTTTGCCCCTCGGGTGGCCCGGAGAGCCACGGGGGAGGGAGGGACACACAGTGACAAGGTTGGGGGAGGAAACTGTTAAATAAAAGCAGCTTGTCCGGAGCACAATTAAATACGTGAGCACACGAGTCCTTAAATTAAAGGCTGCTCCCGCCACCGGGAGCTGGCACAGAGGGGAGCCGGGGGTCAGAGAGGGGGCTGGAAGGGCAGGGAGG